CAACTTCACAATTGTTTCACAAATTGTAACAATAAAGTAAGCAATAGTAGCAATTATAGAAGAAAATTAGAGAGAGATTGTGATAGATTGGATTTTGTAAGAATAAATGAAAGAATGATGGGGTATTTATAGTTGAAAATAGGGAAAAAGTGTAATTATAAAAAGTATGGGATTAAAACAAAGTTGGGGGGTTAAATGGCTATTTTATAAATAGCCAACGACTATTTTTGACAGCCCAACGGCTATATTTTTAAAAAATAAAAATATATATATATATATTTATTTTTTTTAAAAAAAAATAGCCGTTGGGACCGTTTGGCCCGCTAAGGGACCGGGCTAAACGGTCCCGGACCCTGACGGGCTAAACGGTCCCGGGCCTGACGGGCCCAAATCATAGGACTGACCCACGAGACCGGTCCAGACCCGCTAAAACCGGCCCAAACGGTCTGGCCCGTTTGGCCCACGGTCCTGGGCCGGTCCCGGGCCTGGACCGGCTCACTTGCCACCCTTATCTATGTGAATTACTAGGATTGTTTAGCAACATATATGACATTAATGGTTGTGTAGGATCAAAAATTCACTATTTAATATTATTACTTCTATTTCATTTGATTGGCTTATCGGAGTCACCAAACCAATCAAATTTTTTCTTTCTTTCATTCATTATTTAAAAGAGTGTATCTAATTGGCCAGAACATATTTGAACATTTAGAATGTTTCCATTGGCCCTCTAATTGTCATGTACATCCGCCGAAACCAGGGGGAAGCTACAGCTTATCATTGACCACCCTTTGCCGAAAAATTATAATGTATATAGGTAAAATATTAAGTTTTAGAAGTATATAACATATATTGAACATTTTTTATCGAGAATTGTTTTTCACTTCTTTCAAGTTTAAACACCCTTGAGGAAATTTCTGATTTCGTCACTGGCCGAAACATAATAAAGTAACATTCACATTGTGAACAGGACACTTAGAAGGGTTTTGTTTAATCTTTAATTTGATTTGGCACACTACGTCAAATTAACTTTTGACGTGGTATATGTTTGGACCTTAAAATTAACATTCAAGTGAATCTTGTGCCTGTTAACCAAAATGAAGTTGTTTTCTTAATCTATGTAAATTGACTTACAGAATCAATCCAACCCGTATTGACTCGTAATATCTTCCGAACCGAATAAACGTTTAAAGTGTCTAGCACATCCGTTACAAATGCATAGATATTGAAATATAACAGAACAAGTCAAATGGTTGATCTTTTAAATACTTTTCTTTACGTTCATCTCAATGCAAAATTGCACTAACTAATAATTTTTTAAATCATGACTTTTTCTTTTCTATAAAGTTAGTAAAGCATTTAACATCAAATTGAAGTGAAGATTTTTTTGTACATTCTAATTCTAAAGTAAGAAGTAACATAGATGCTAGGAAGAGAAGTCATAAGTTGGGTTTATTTATGATCTTTTTCCAATGTTCAATCTCTTTCAAGTAACTCGTTTCTGCTAATTATGAAATTTCATTAAAACAAAGGGCATCGAACCTTGACTTGGCATGGGCAAGATACTAGTGGTATCACTAAATTAAAAGTAAAACGCATCATGACTCTCTTTTGCTCTCGAAAAGGTAACAAATATTATTCACAAAAGCAGCACTAAGTTAAGCGCTGCAAATCTGTACAGAGTGAGCAAAATCCAAAGTCATATCTCTCTTCTAACCATGGAGTGATGGAACCAAGTATTGAATCTGTTTCTTCTACAAGTTCCTCTTTACACCAAAAACTAAAAGGACAAAGTACACTTGAACTTGATATTTTGGATAGAGTTGAACTTAATCTTCAAAGCATCTAGCATTTCTTTCACATCAAACAGTCCACCAGAATGCATGCAGGAGCTGTGTACCACCACTTAGTTCTTCATTTTTCCTTGCCAACATCTCAAACGGGCAATGTTTGTCCCAGGAATGGCCCATTTGGTGCCAGCAAACTTCAATAACAATTGGCACATTTGATGTGACAGAGCAGAGCAAAAACAAGTAGTTGGGAGCCTCAGTAATCCACAAAGGTTAAATCTACTGCATTACCTCATTCCTCTCTTCTGAAGATTATCATGAGCTGGCAAGCCTCTTTGGCTACTATCCAAGAAAAGCATGCCACTTTTTATGGAGCTTTTGTTTTCCAGATCTGCTTCCAGGGCCAAGGCTTCAAGTGTAATTCTTTTCGTGATATCTATAGCATGACTTGACTGAAAACACCCCTTTGCTACTCTTCTTCCTGTTACGATGGATCTTTCGAGAGTGCAGATTGCCTAGGATTGAATGATTAGCAAATAGATTAAAGGCACTGAGCAAACATATTTAAGAGCAACTACTGTTTTTTTCTTTTTCAATAAGCTCCTTTGCACCCTCAACCCCAACCACAAGAAAGAAGTCACTAGAGATATTGGAACTCAACTGTACATTTGTGAACTGAAAACCTGGGAATGTAGTGTTCTAAACACAGTCTCGACAGAAGTAAAATCAATGTCAAAACCGTAACTATTCCCTCCATACTGCAAATAAAGGTAACCTTTGGAGGACAAAGGTGGAGGTAAAATTTGAGGTATCTCTAAAAACTCTACTGTTGTAGGAGGCATAGGTGTCTCTCTCTTCTTCGAGTAATAAACATCAGCTAGAAGGAGCCAAATAAGATCAGGATCGACTGAAGCAAGTCCAGCAAGGGCATTCACAGATGCATCTCGAAGGCCTACAACACCGCTACATGCTATCCCAACAACGAGACCGCTGACCTTCTTCAGAACTGCTTCCAGTGCTGAAGCACTATGTTTATTCCGAGCCAGATCCGCAAGCATGCTGAGCACTGCAGCCTGGACTTTTAGATCAGAAATCTCAGCTACCGGATCTCCTGAAGATGCAGAATCACCTCGGTATGGAAGCCTCAAGTGAGCCTCCTCTAAATGTGGAGCTCTCTTTTGAAATGGTGAAGTACTTAAAAGGCTCCAGAAGTGTTTCCCATCTGTATGGAAACGCCGAGTAAAGAAGTCACCTCCACATATTTGCACAATATTACTAATTGTATGCGCACATCTTCGAACAGCCTGCTTATTATTGAACAGAAAAACCAATAGTCAGAAAGCTGCTTTACCAACGATACTACTACCTTTGAAACAAACTTACAATTTCAATTTTGCTCGACAAGTTCTTTTTCCTTCATGGGTGGGGGTGGGCAAGGGAAGCAAAAACCAAACAATGGTACAACCAAGAAAAAGAAATAGTAGGGATGTTTCTCAAGTCCCTCCCAATCAGACAAAATTCTCTTTACTTTGTCCTACTAAAGATTTCATTGTCAGAATGATAACCAAGTTTCACCTCCAGATATCTCAAGGACTCTAATGGTAATCATTAAAGAATGTAAAAGTACTTATGAAACAAAGATAACAGTGAAATCATGAGTTTTTGGCCAATTACATAAATATATCTGTAACTTAACTACATCCTTAAAATATCTCAGCACACATTTTAAACATCCTTCAAGTTTATCGAAATGAGCAGGTTTCATTCTTCTGTTATTCATGATTACAGAACTAACAGAATCCCTCAAAATCACGGGCAGCACATGTAATATACTCCAAACACCCTGCTTTACAACCCCCTTGCCCAACCCTGAAGTAAAAAACAAAACGTTATGGTACAAACAGAGTTGTTTGAAGTCGGTACTCATAACACTGGTAGATCCACTTAGACATGCTTCTGGGTGATGCTTATCACTAGTTATGAGTTGTAAGATGAAGCATGATCAAGAGGAGGTTTCAAGGAATTATTTTTTCAAATTGTTTTGTAGAACCATCCAATCATCCTTTTCCACACTAAACATGTACAAGTAGAACATGAAGCATAAGTGTAGCATAACCAGGAAAGGATTCCATCTTTTTTCATCCTTTTCACCACTCATCAAAGGGAAAAAAATGTTAAAACCCAATTCATCGTCTCACCATTATTGTTCACCAATAAAGATTCACGGTTAAACCAGAAACACTACAGAATTTTGGAAGTTCTGTAACAAGCTTCCACCAGATCCCATCCTAAAAACAATCAATTGGTACACCAGAAGTGAAAAAGTGCAGCAGAAGTGCAGAACTAGAAATGCATAAAATGCTAAAAAAAAAACATGCAGTTTTAGAAACCAGAAATGCAGAAAATGCTGAAACTCCAGAAGACCAGAATATGGAGAAATCAGAAACTCCAGAAACAAGAAAATCTGAGATATCACAGAAATGAGAAAATTACTCTAAACACTATTTCATATATACAACAGTATTTCCTTCAGTACAAAAAGTGCGCCTTAACGATCAGGCATGGAGAAGCAGGCAATGTTTTGGGCAGATGTCATGTCACCTGTGGTTTTGTAGGGGTCCGTTAGTTTTGTAACGATGGGTAACAGAAGGATGAAATTTGCTCACTTTGGAAAACTTAAAAGGATATTTTTTATTCATAAAGATACTTCAAGGATGTAATTTAAGTCATAAAATATACTTTAGGGATGTTTTTGGCCCAAAATTCGTGAAATCTTAGCCACTGCCCACTGGACACAGATTTGTCTATTGCTTCCAGTGTCCAATCTATTGCATGATAGCTCAAACCGGACATACAAGTTCTCGTCCCGCTCACTATGGATTCAGTTATTTCACGGTAACTGCTTATTAGCAGCATCCTAGAATCCAAACCATAAATTAGGAACTTCTATATTCTATCAGTTTCCAATCGTGCTTCCCCCTAGCACATCTCATAATTACAGTTGCCATAAAATTGAAAATAGTCAAATATCTATTTAAATTTAAAAAGATTTATAAGAAGAAACAATCCACAGAAATGATTAGTAGGTTTCCAAAAACAATGTTAAAAAGCCACTCACCAATGGACTCTTATTTCGAATACAAGCAACCAAAAAAGGCCATACTTTATTGGCTGCAGGGAGCAGTCTGTTCTCAGTAGATTCATCAGCATCAGCATCTAAAGCATCCTTAAGACTATAGAATGAACACATTTCAGCCACATGTTCAATTGCCTCTTTGATTTCCTTCTCATGCTTGTAGGCATCCTCCACGTTGGCAACTGTCAAAAATCCATCCTAAAGACATTTGAAAATAAATGAATCAAAGGAAACTTTCATGTGCAATATTCCAGTAAGTAAATAAGTTTGTTCCTTCCAAGGAATTTGCATATATGCAGCATTTAATAAATATGAGGGTGGATAAATGATCAACCATAGCAAAATGAGACAAAAGTGTATGATGGATCCTCGACTTAGATTTTTTTTTTTTTTTGAGAAGGAATCCTCAACTTCGATCTTCTGTCAGAAGAATATAAAAGTATCTACAAAAACAAGACTGGCCAACTAAGACAAGTTTTTACATGAGAAAAGGAAAGTGGTATAAGAGGGACTGCGGCAGTAAGGTCATCCTATCATGAATAGGAATGAACTTATTTTTACTGAGCAGGAACAAAATGAAGTTACGAATTTCCAAAGACCCGTGAAACTGTGTATGCATATAATATATTATGTATCAGCATAGAAGGTTCAGCATTTAAACACTTAAATTTCATTGTGAAATTACTTAATTGCCACAAAATAAAGCTCAAAACCATACATCAACTATATCAAGTGCTACCAGGGATGCTGCTTGTTTTGCTGAAGCAAGTAATGGAGTTGCAGCGGTTAAACATGAACCTGCAATAGATCCAACTGTTCGTCTAAACCTTCTGAAGTCACTCATTTTGAACAGCATAGTCTCCCACTCCATTTGCGTATGAACATCATTGGCGTAGATCCGCATCCCTATTAAAAGAAGAATACCACCATCAGATGGCCAATGCAATCAATCAGGTAAATTCAGACATGACCTCCAAAAAAGGCAAATGACCCTGATGTTTCAATATTATATACGAGTGTTCCTCAAAATATGATTCAACACCAAAAGAAAATTTGATACTCAAGAATAAGATATCACCATACTTCATGTCAGCATCATGGAGTTGAGCACAAATTTCTAATATTATTATGTTGCCAGTGCTTGCAATTGGTATTTTCATGAGTGACTCTTTAAGAGTGTCTCCCAAGATGGAACTTGTGAAAGCATCTTTATCACAATGGTCTCTAAATTTTATTCAGATATATGCAACTGTTTAAGCCTTCCAATAAGCATTATTCTAAAATATTTTTCTAGATGCAACAAACTTTTAACCTTTTATTATCTCCTATTTCAGTATACTTTATGTTATGGTCAATTTATTAATAGGCATATAAGGTAAAAAAGGTTCAGGAGTTTTCGTTATGGTCAATTTATTTATTTATGTTAGAATTAACATAATATAAATATTTAAAAAATTATCATAAAAGATATTGTAGTTATGATGTGTAGAATCAATAAAAATTTATATAAGGTAAAGTTTTAATGAATCTCAAAATCCTAAATAATAGGACTTCCTACACAAAACAAATAGGAAAAGATTTTATAACATTAATTTTAGCTAATTTAAAACTCCTAAATATTATAAGATTAATTAAATGACTATTTTGTTAAGTGTGAACTCTATTATAAAAGGGTAAAAAGGACGAACAACATTTCGCTAAGGGTCTTCGTGCTTTTAATATAATATAAATATAAATATATATTCAATTGTCGCATGATTTAATGGATACATACCAGATTCAGACGACTTCTTGCCAACTTTGTCATCATTATATGAACCTGAATCATCAAAAATCTTTTCTGTCCCCTTCTGCAGGTTCAGCTTTCTAGATTCCACATCCTCATAATATGACTTTGCTTGATCCACCAGAGCACTAGCCTCATGCTTTGATGCCTTAACTATTTCTGCCATTGCCTAAAGAGTGGAGGAAGATTATAACCAAGCAACTGAATAGAGAAGAGCACCGCATCCAATAGTCAGAATCTAAAGAAATTTAATGATAGCTCAATAAATCACAACAAAAGGTCTGATGCAGAGATACACGAATTAAGTGAGCTTTCTTTCCAGGCAAGACATAACAGTCAAAGAGAAATGCACTTTCTAATTTTAAGACAATGAATATGACTAAGAGAACTGATTGTTCTCCTCTATAGCTATATCTATCAGTAAGTGCATTCAAATTAGAGTACAGTAAGCAAATGTCAGAAATCACCTTCAAGAAGGGAATGGTCAAGCCAGGGTTTTGATGCCTGCCAAGAATTTCAAGCTCCATGGAAACAGCACGCATCTGCAGAAATCACAAATTCATTCTGAACATATTGCAACTTAAACTAAAAACTATACATACATATACATATACATATATATATATATATACACACACACACACACACATACATATTTATCGGTCATGTCCATAGAGGCAGACATAATAAAACAGACGACAGGACCTACAACAACATATGCCTCATTTCCAAACTAGTTGCATTTGGAGACAACAAAACAGAACGAGAAGTTAGAAAAAAGTTTTTTGTTGATTCCAATTTCCAGGATATCAAAGTTGAGACATACTGGCTCCTCCAACAGAGGAAATATACTGTGCGCCACTCCTATGTACGAAAGCATGGCAGCAAGTACATTTGGTACATCAGGGTTAAGCTCTAGAGAGCGCAGCTGCCTGCATATTGAATCAATTATATAATCTGAATTTGCTATAACCAAGTGTCCAACCTGCAAGAAGTTTTATAATTAGTGCCAGTAACCTTCAAAGACACAACAAGAAAGAAATCCATAGCTGCTGCTTACTGTTGGATAGTCATGCATAGCAGCAACAATGCGTAATACAGCATCAGATGCACTTCTGATTTGGAAGTGAGAGCAACTAAGATTGTGAAGCAACATATAAAGAGATGTATGAAGAAATCCGGACGAAGAAAAATCTTCCCCAAGGCACATAGAAAAGATGCCAATTCCATCAATAATAACCTGTTTGACAATAGCAAAACTAACATCAATATGACAAAGCATAATTTGATCCGCTAGAAAAGACATTGATAAGATAAGTAACGCATGAAACCACAATCACAACAAGAGATGGAAAAGAAAATTTCCTGGTGCAGCATCACGTTGTCATTAAAGAAATGTGAGCTAATGTTCGTATCCTCACAATCAGATTGTTGTAAAGCAGCCGTATGTTCAACGGGCAGACTCCATATTTCAGGGGATAGGTATTCATGTAATATGCTGCCAATGCAGTCAACTAAATGATTCCTTTCTCCCTTAACTTGGCAAATCTTCCAAATAGATCCCTCTGGCGCAGATTGTTCAATTTTGCAATGTTGACTCTCATCTTCTTGACATTTCTTATTTTCTTGTGGTGCCATTACATATGCTCTAAACATTCTGGTAAAGTCATCAATTGCTTGATCTGACAAACCAAATATCAACTCATTCAGGACACACACAGCTGTACTGGCCTGTCGTACTAATTGTCCTGAAGTAATCCTGTTGTACCAAGATTGCCAGCTCTCTTCACTGTATTCCTTCATCCGTATTTCAGAAATCAATTTCCGCAGGTTCTCCAATGGAAGGTCAATGATAACAGAGAGAGACCCTTCAGTTCGAGAATCTAGTCAAAGCAACAAAAGGAAAATGTCATAACATTAGGTCAGGAAAGAAGTAAATATACGGTTAAAAAGTTCAGAAGGGAAAAACAACCTGCAAATAAAGATAAACCTACAAGTCGAAGGATCCCCGCTAGACAACGGTACAGCTTCTGACTGCCAACATAAACAAACCAAGGTGGCATGCGCGGCAGCTGATGCTCATTCTTTACACTTTCTGTGGCATGTACTCTTCTATTTTGATTTTCTCTACTTCCCAGATTGTCAAAGCCAGCAGCTCTAATAGCTCTTATCTCTGCTAGGGAATGCATGAACCCTGATGAGGAAGGCTTTGCTACAACATTCTTCTCAAGGGAACCAGCAAAAACTGAATTTTGACTCAGACAGAGGGCTAAAACATCCAAGAATTGAGCAGATCTCACCTACACATTCCACTGAAAGGCATTAAAAGATGAAAGGCGTTACACTTTAAGTATTCTGATCTGAATGAGGGATGATACTAAGGAAAAAGAAAAAAGAAATAAATTCTGTAACAATTAAATATATGTAAGAAATAGCAGCTCCACAAGTGTCCAGTGGCAAGTAAGCAAGCAAGTGGGAGAGTATACGTTCATCCACTCAACCCCGCCTCTCCAAGCAAAAGAGAACCATAAAAGAAAAGAACAATGACCCCAAAGCTAAGAATTGATAGCTCAGAATTGCCTAAAAGGATAGAAACAAAGAAAACGCTAGGCCTGTTGCACCTACAGGAGACTGAAGGAGGTAGTCTGCCACGAGCCGAGGCCCTGAAAAATAGATCAGTACGAGTAGCTTCTGGGCATGTGCAATTGCATATGATTCATCAGCTCCAAGGACCACTTTTGGAAGCTTTTTAACAAGCCTGTGAAGAGGATGTAAAGTCCATTAGATCACTTCTAGTGCATAGGCCGCTACCAAATATATATGTTTCAACAGAGAAAAGATTAGGACTACAAAGACCTGTTAAAAACCTCTCTAACATCATCTTTTACTTGACGCTTTCCATGTGACGTGAGCAGATACCCAAAGAACAACTGTGAAGCTGAAGACACCTCCTCGGAGTCATCACATGCCAAGACACATAGATTTTCCTGCAATTTACAAGAGCCAAGAATACATTCAGAACAAAATATTTGGTTAGTGAAAAATGAAAAATATATGTACCAAATTTTGCACTTCAAAGAAGCTTCAAGACTCTGCTAATAAAGGACCCAATGGCACCAAAAAGAAAAAAACAAGGAAATGCAATTCACTTATATACAAGAGTATGTCAACAAAGGCGTATTCCGGATTTCAAGAGCATGGGTGCACCATGAGCACCAAAAATCCGAGTTTCCGAAAGGGTGTATGAGAGATGTATTTTTGGTTTAGAAATTTTAAAAGTCAAAACAAAGCCTAAAGAAAGAAAAGAAACAAAAGAGGCGTGTTTAATTAGAAAAAGCGGCAAAGGCACGGGGTTTTGGACCTATTTATTAATTAAAATATGATTTTAAAAAAAGAAAGTACGGGGATCGAATCCCTGACTAAAAGATAGAAGGTGCACCTTCTTACCAGTGCACTAAAATGCTCACTTGAGATTGGGTTCACCCATGTTAATTTAGGCATTTGAGCTGAAATTCATTGCTACTCTAAATGATTTAGGGAGAGGAGGATGGGTTCACGTGAACTCACCCCCCCTCCCCCCATGTGCATCCGCCCCTGTATGTCAATATATTCCGACTTTCATATTTACAATTGTACCAATTCATCGAAAATCACGGCATCGCAAGCTTGCAAGTATTACCGAGTGAAGATTTAAAAAGGAGCAGATATTTATCAGAAAACTAAACTAAGTGTCAAGTGCCAATTACAGTCTCCTCACACTGTCAAAGACTAAGGTAAAGCAATGTGTTTGTTGCAATAGTGGGTTATGCACCTTTTGACAGACTGTAGCAGCAATCACTAGAAACATTATGGAGTATTGAGTTCCATGAGAGGAAAGCACAAGAAAAACCGGTATAGCACAATAGATTATGCAAGTGGCTCCGCCACACAGATACAATCCACAGCATCTGTTAGAATATTATGTCTTAATATTAGAATGTTATAACTGTTTTGTTAAGTTAGAGTTGGTCAACTCAGATATTTGTCCCACAATGTAAAATAATGAGTATTCCAGACCTATGAATAACTGTGGCTTGTATTCAATTCTAATCAAGTCACTAATACATCTCTTCTTTTTCGTATTTTTGACTTGGTGTCAGAACCTCTATGATCTTGGCAGAAATCAACTTCCAAATATTGAAGGTCGGCCCTATGCCGCCCACCTGAACAAGTGTTTCACTTTTCATAATTTTACTGTTCTTAGCATCATTTCGATGATCATTCAGTAGTATCTCTCCTATTTTAGTGCTCATTCCAACAGCACCATGCCCAGTTCTAATAATCGTTCCAAGGTACCATGCCTCTTTTCCAGTACTCCTTCCTGTGGCACTATGACTATTTTGTAACTTTTCAAGTGGCATCGCGTCTCTTTCCCCGTGACCATTCTGGCAGCACAGCCTCTGTCTGGCCAATATTCCAACCATTTCTCCAGCACCATATCTGACAAGATTCCAGCAACTTCCAGCAAGTTTTCCCACAACTGTTCCCGCAACAATAATCAAGCAATTTTACAGTACATTCACTAATCTGAAAATTGTTCACTTTTTTGTATTTTCAAAATAAATAAAGTTAGTGGTTCTTCCCATTTGAGTTTGAGAAGGCCTGTTAGTGTTATATTAAGTGTTACTATTAGAAGTTAAGGGAAAATGTAAGACATGTTTAGTAGTAAGTTAGACATTGTCCCACAGCGGAAAATTTCCAGGCGTGTAGTGCGTGTCTTTTAATTGATATTAATTATAAATACATCTCTTATTCTTGACGCATGTCACGGGTTCGAACCCTCCCACGGATAAAGCCTGGTATTTAAGCAGAGAAAAGTGGAGGGACGGGCCAATTATCTAGCGAGTTTCAAACCTTGCGCCACTAGTCCTCGGGCATTTGGTTATAAGAAAGAAAAAATATTACATCTCTACTCTCCGATATGTCTTACAATGTCAATCTTTGTGAATCAATATGGCTATGAGCTAGTAGCATATGGACATGCCAACAAGAATTTGGAAGTCTGGATAATTTCATAATATTGCAATGGCTTCTGGATGTTTGATATCTCCAGGTATAGCACTATGAAATTCCACTTCTAAGGGAAATATGACAGAAAGAGCCAGTATAAACTACTACATAAGACCAAAGTGCTAATAGAATGGGTCCACAACACCAGCTAATAAACAAGTCTTGCTTTTATTTTATTTTCTCATTTAAGACATGTGACGTCTGAATGGTATGCAACAGATTTCTACATGCTAATAGGCCGAATATAACATGAAAGCATATTACTTCTCAAAAGAATAAAATATGGAAGCATATTAGCAGGAACTTTATTTCACAATTACTAATCTCATCCAGCCAAATCAGCTAGAGCAACAACAACCAAAAAAAAAAAAAAAAAAAAAAAAAAACCAATGTAATCCCACAAGTGGGACCTGGGGAGGGTAGTGTGTACTCAGGCCTTACCCTCACCTTGAAGGTAGAGAGGTTGTTTCCGATAGACCCTCGGCTCACGAAAGACTAGAAGAAAAGCAATATCACCAAGCAATAACAACAAGAAGATAGTAAAAAAATAAAACGAGAGGAACAACAAGTAATAAATCTAACAATAACAGAATACAAGTCTAACACTAATACTCACGACTACCTACTAGCCGTCTACCTTGATTCTCGACCTCCACACATTCCTATCAAGAGTCATGTTCTCGGTAAGCTGAAGTAACGTCATGTCCTTCCTAATCACCTCTCCCCAATACTTTTTCGGCCTACCTCTACCTTTTCTCAACCCCTCCAGCCAACCTCTCACACCTCCTTACCGGGGCATCTCTGTTTCTCCTTTTCACATGTCCAAACCATCTAAGCCTAGCTTCCCGCATCTTGTCCTCCACTGGAGAGGCGGAGACACTCTCACTCTAGCCCCAATATCTTCATTCCTAATCATATACATCCCGCTATGCCCACACATCCATCTCAACATCCTTATCTCTGCTACTTTCATCTTCTGGACATGCAAGTTCTTGACTGGCCAGCACTAAGCCTCATACAACATAGTCGGTATAACCACCGCTCTCTAAAACTTGCCTTTAAGTTTAGGTGGCACATTCTTATCACATAAAACACTGGATGCTAGCCTCCACTTCACCCACCCCACTCCAATATGATGTGTAACATCCTCATCTATCTCTCCATTTCCTTGGATAATAAACCCAAGGTAGTTAAAACTATCTCTCTTAGGGATAAGTTGTGTATCAAACCTCACATCTCTGTCCGCTTCACTGGTTCCGTCACTGAACTTGCACTCCAAGTATTCTGCATTGGTCCTACTCAACTTGAACCCTTCAGATTCTAGGGTGTCTCCAAACCTCCCGTCTCGCGTTTACACCACCTCGCGTCTCGTCAAGCAGTACAATTTCATGTGTAAATAACATACATCATGGAACCTCCCCTTGAATATGGCGCGTCAGTGTGTCCA